TTCGCAATTCCCCTCATTCCTGCATTATGTTTCTGGGTATCATTTGTTGCCGTGCAGATTTTCATGTATTATTTATTTGTTGCACTCGGCTCACCCCTCGCGGTCCCATTGCGATTTTCTACCCCAATCACGGAGCAGCTGCACTTCCAGTGGCCACAGAATGTAGGCCTTCAGGTAATGGAATGAAGCAGATTGAAGATTATATCGGAATTTTATATGGAGAACTACATTTATCTACCAAGTGGTCGGTATTTTGTATAGGGAGCTACATCTATCTACCAAGCTGAATAGTCTTCTTTATATAGTACTTTCAAAATGTTACCTAAAAAGTTCGAGAAGTAATTTTTATAACAAGAAGTATTTACCATAACCTAAAAATATTTAATTATTAGTGTAAAAAGAATCTATGATCTTTTTTGAAAGAACTACGGTGATTCTTGTTTACAAACTTCACAAAAATGTTTGTTTTGCAGAACTCTTTTTGCCCTTCTCCACATAATACAAGCAAATTCTCAGAACTAATAAGATTTTATTTACTTTTAACACCAAATGGTATAAAATTCATTATCAAAGTCTGACAGAAAATAACACTTTTAAATTATAAGTGCTAAGTTATATGTTTGGCAAATCTGAATTTATAAGGGTGGCGTTCTTTTAAAAATGTTTAACTGTTTTAAGTTCCAAGTCGTTTCGTTTTATAAGTGCTAGGTTACATATATGTTTGGCAAATCTGAATTTATAAGTGTGGCGTTCTTTTAAAAATGTTTAACATGTTTTAAGTTCCAAGTCGTTTCGTTTTATAAGTGCTAAGTTATATGTTTGGCAAATCTGAATTTATAAGGGTGGCGTTCTTTTAAAAATGTTTAACATGTTTTAAGTTCCAAGTCGTTTCGTTTTATAAGTGCTAAGTTATATGTTTGGCAAATCTGTATTTATAAGTGTGGCGTTCTTTTAAAAATGTTTAACATGTTTTAAGTTCCAAGTCGTTTCTTTTTATAGGTGCTAAGTTATATGTTTGGCAAATCTGAATTTATAAGTGTGGCGTTCTTTTAAAAATGTTTAACATGTTTTCTAAGTTCTATGTTTGGCAAATCTGAATTTATAAGGGTGGCGTTCTTTTAAAAATGTTTTATATGTTTTAGGTTCCAAGTCGTTTTCTGCGGGATCATCACTCAAGTATTTAAGAACGAACTTGAAATGCCACTAATCTCAAAAGATTTTCGGAGGCACGAAGCTACAGAGATCTTTACACTCTCCAAAAATGGGTTGTTCAAGCCCATAACCTACTAAGCCAGTCGGAACGTCATTGAGCTGTCAGAGTGAGTCGATTTTCTAAATTCAATTAAATCCCTCCCTCCGTCCTGGTATCGCTATGATTGACAGCTGCCCCGATCCAGTTTTCAGTTCCCCTGCCTCAGCATTTTGGGGAGTACGAGTCTGCATTCGGGGAACCAAAGTCTATTAACAGACCTAAAGATGGCGGCTTATTGTTTGCCAGGGTCTGAGGGAGTCTCAAGATTTGCCCGGAACACAATTCAAATTTCAAATCCAATTCAAATCAAAATTTTATTAGGGCATCTTGCTCAGCGATATTCCCATCAATTAAGAGTGGAATTATTTATGTTTACCAGGGTAACCAGAGCCCACTCATAACCCAAATCTTTTGAGCTCAGTCGCGAGGATTCCTTTTAATTAGAAGAGTTCAAATAATTTATGGCCTTTCGGGGGAGGAGTTTCTGTTTACGCCAGGCCTAAGGCCCTCTATTTATTTGTGTAACAAAAGCTGAGAAATTTCAATAAAAAAAAGTTGCCCAAAAATATATATGCCCGGTTCTTGGGAACCGTCTGCTGCTGCTCCTCCCCCAACAAAGTTGCACACGTTTGGAGATTTACATTCAACCATAAATCTTCCGACGGCGCTTTCCGCCCTCCGAGATGCAGTTGCCCATTAAACGACACCAGGAATCGGGGCATGGGCGTGGGGATTCTGCGGAATGGATGGGGGTGGCACGGGGCCAAGTGCTTTCACTCCCAAACCAGACTCCCTCAAGATCTCCCACAACCGATGCATCCGCCGTTTTTGTTTACTTCACTGTCATAAAATGTTAATGCCTACTTTGGCGCTAATTTAGTGGACGGTGATGGTATGGCCAGGTTCGCCTCCCGATTTCCTTGAATCCAATTAACTTTTTGGAAACGGGAAGCTACCGAAATACCCACACGACGCACGTTAACACGCCCCAAAACGCGGTTCGTGCCTAGTTGCTGGCCGGAATGCCTATTTCGGGCTATTTGATTTGACTTAATGTCCATTGCCATTTGAATGATGACAGACAACGGCCCAATGACATTTTCCTGCCAGTGACATTAGAACAGAAATGGAGAACAGCCCCTTTCATGTCTCATAAATTGGCTCCAACTTTCATTGCCGCCAAATGAGCAGAGGAACTGCACTTACAATGTCGCTGGTTAGGCATTCTGGGCTTAATGGTCTAGCATGTTAGGTATTCAGGAAGGTGTTCAGGAAAATTATTTAACCATTTTCTTATCATTATTATTATTTGGTTTTAAATAGTCAAGGAATTGGAGAATTGAAAAAGTCAGGATAGATAGATAGATAGATAGTTAGACAGGTAGATAGATAGATAGATAGATAGATAGATAGATAGATAGATAGATAGATAGATAGATAGATAGATAGATAGATAGATAGATAGATAGATAGATAGATAGATAGATAGATAGATAGATAGATAGATAGATAGATAGATAGATAGATAGATAGATAGATAGACAGACAGATAGATAGATAGATAGATAGATAGATAGATAGATAGATAGATAGATAGATAAATAGATAGATAGATAGATAGATAGATAGATAGATAGATAGATAGATAGATAGATAGATAGATAGATAGATAGATAGATAGATAGATAGATAGATAGATAGATAGATAGATAGATAGATAGATAGACAGACAGATAGATAGATAGATAGATAGATAGATAGATAGATAGATAGATAGATAGATAGATAAATAGATAGTATAAAGAAATCGAAAAACTAATTTTATTTTCTAAAATAAAGGGGACACATTTTAAGGAAGCCCTAAGAGATATGTCATACTTTATAACCTTTAAAACGAAATCCTTAATATTTTATAACAAAGTCAACCAATTTCCTAACAAGTTTTATTTATTATTTGAATATCTTATGATGGTTACATTTTCTAAAATTTAAGATAATATTTTTTTTCGGAGTAATTCTTCTCCCCCTTATAAATCAGGCATCTATAAAGCGGCTGCATTTAACACTTTCCTTTGCCAAATTTTAAGTACATCAAGGAGATGGCTGCTTTGATCATTATCGAATCTCTTGGTATTTGTCTAGGCAAATCATAAGGAGGAGTGTAGCTAAACCATAAATAAACCGAATGTTTTTGCACCCATATCTGGAGGAGAACGACGTACTGCTGGCTGTGCGCTGTGCCGGAGTTTGCATTTAGCGCCGTCTGCCGATAGCTATTTATATATCTGAACAGAACTGGGACTGGGTGATCCTCGACATCTCCACAACCAAGGGTAATTCCAAGGGGAATGGGGTGGTGGTGGTGGTGATGATCATAAGTGCTCGGCGGGTAAACAAGCAAACAGGGCAAAACAAAACTCCGGACTCTGGAGTCTGATTAGTGTCAAGCCGGGCTATTTATGAGTGTCTCGATGGGATTAGCCGGCACCAGCTGGGTCTGCATGTCGTTTATTTTCATAGTTCTCGCCCAGATTGCTCAGTTGCTTGTGGCCAAGTAATTTCCAGTTGTGGCTCATGATCAACTTTGACCTCTTTTGTCCGAATGGTCAGGCCGCATTTGATTGCCAGCGTTTATGCTTATGGCCCGTCTTTCTTTTTTCTTTTTATTTTTCTTTTTTTTTCCATTTCATTTCGGGCATTTGGCGAGTGCGAGTCAGTAAAACCAGTTTTCCACCGCTCGATTTCCAGTTTTCAAGTTTACACAAGTTAAGAAAGCTGCTGCAGCATTCAAGCCGGGCCAACTGCTGACTAACTGACTGCCAAGACTCTGTTGATTTTTTATCTTGCACCTTGTTTATGCAAAAAAATATTTCCAAGCTTGCAGTTTCAGTCTATCTTTGTTTTTCTAGTTTGTTTCTTTTTTTTCTTTTTGTTTTCATACTTTAAAGTTGACTATAATTTCATGTGGTGTATATGCGCTTTAATAAAAATAACTTGGCCATAAAGTGCCTGTGTGTTGCCTGTCACAATCTGGATCTCGAAGGCTTAATGGACTCATAAAGCTCCAGGCTGAGATGCCAGGTCAGATATGCTTAGGAATGTGGGGAACTAGGAAGAAGTGGTATTCCTATAGGTATATATAAATACCCGACCTGCAGGGTAGAACCCCTTGGGTGTTTCATGGGCAGCTGTTCTCTATAACTCTTTAGGAACTTTAGTTTTTAGATTTTTTAGGCTTATGACTGTGTCTAATAAGGAAAACCATCTATGTCTTGTAGAAATCACTTATTAGTATTTTACAATAAATATTTCAGACATCAGAGAAATAGTTGAAAAACCCAAACGAATAACGTTTTTAGAATTAAGGGTTCGCTTTAAAGTTTGCATAAACATGCTCCTATTGGTAAGAGAAATATAATATATTAAATAAATATAATACTATTTTAAATTAGAATCATTAAGGAATTTATTAAGAAACTTACGAATTTTCTTCTTATAAAACCCATTACTTATATACGCAAAAGAAAGAAAAGCCTAACAAATTTTTATATTATATTAAAGTTAATCCTTGGAATCTTCTTAAAGTCAGATTTATTAAACCAGTCACTTAATAACTACTTAAAAAAAAGGTAATATTTATATTCCAATATAGTTGTTACAAGTATGAATGAATTTGGTTAGTAAAAAAACGAAATCATTTTTTACAAACTGAGTTCTATTGTATTACATTTCCTTTTTTTTATGGCGCCCACTCTCTGACAAATTATACGCGACACTCTCGACTATTTTCCCATTGACACTAACTTATAATTGAGGGTTTAATTTTCGCCTATAATTCGCACTTTGCATCTCAGTTGCTTCTTTTCTCCACCGTAGATGGTCATGATCAGTAATTAGGTTTACGAGCTGGGCTTGAATGAATTGAAATTGTTTTGCAGTTGAGCGGCAATTATGAGCTTCTCTCGGTTTTTTTCCATACCCCTCGGTTTTCCACCCACCGTCCAGTTTTATTGTGAATGGCTGATCGTCAGTCGACTGTGTCAAGGGCAGAGCTCAGTTTTGCTTACAAGTATTTTAATTGCATTACGCAAGTTTTGCGTTCTCGATAAAACAATGGAAATGAGGGGGGAAACACATTTCCCTGCATTTTTATTTACGGGGTCGATAAAGAAAAAGTCTGACGCATTCCACATGCTATGTTGTTTTCTTTTGATTTGTAACATGCAATTTATCACACCCGCTAGCCATTAGTCATAACTGCATCGCACCTATGGAGAGAGAGAAATCGTAAAAAAAAGTTTATTGCTGATATTTTAGTTTCAAATAAAACATTTATAGTTATGTTATTTTATTGAACAAAATTTTATTAATAGAAAATAATATGTTTTTATAAGATTACTTTATTAATGGATCATTAATACAGTGTGATATAAAGTAAAACCGTCAATGGAATAGACATCTTTTGGCAATATTAAATGGGCTTGGCCTTTTAGTTTCGTCTAAAATCTTCAATAACCTTTTGTAGGATCAATTTTGGTCACAATTCGTACACCCAATTTTTCCCAATTCTACACCCATGACAAAGGAGACTCATATGATGGTGTGGGCAAACAAACGTGACATTTGCCCGGAAAGCTCTGTGGTTTGACCGGGGAAAACCCGGGGTACGGGAAACGGAAGTGCACAACATGAAACCCAAAGCAAACACGTATGGAAAGGGAGCTGATAGGATGATAGTGATAGCCATACTCACATATGGGAGAGATGAGGCCCAAAGGTGAAGCATTTGCACGCCATTAACACCCACCAACATTTATTCCCATACTCCCCCAAAACCATCTCCGCATTTTTGGCCTGCACGTGCACTCCGTCTCAGCCACAAAGTTCGAGTGGGAGAATGGCCATAAATAAATGTCATAATGCAATAAAAACGAAAACAAAACAAAAAGCATGCATATGTACTTAAGTGGCACAACTCAGAGGCGACACGCGACCGCGACCCCAAATGCAAAAAGATATATACAATTGTATATGAACATGCAGCTTTATGTATGAACAATTCATATGGAATGCCAAAAAGGAAATCTGCAACGGAATTGCATGTAAGTTGGAAGTGATGCCGAATTTTAGTGCGTGGGCGACCCTTGGGAAACATTACAGTGATCCCATGGAAAGAAAAATAAAAATATTATTTAATAAACATTATTGTTCACAGTCTAAGTTTTATTATATAAGGCTCATAAAAGATGTATAATGATGATTTTTAATGATCAGTTACACAAATTACTTCGTCTTAATTGAATGAAATTGTGATGAAAGTTATTCAACCTACATATATTGTCAGTTACCTTTGTTTAACAGTATCACAACAGTGATTATGAGGCACATTTAACGGCAGAAAAAGAATTATAACTACAGCTATGTATAAATTGAAATACGAAAATTCCCTCAACTCTTCTTTACGATAGCGTGTTTTAATGTTTGTGCTCGTGGGTGCGTGTGTCGCAGTCACGCAAAAGTCTTTCGATTTCGTCCAATGCCAAATAAGGCCTCCATCACTCTAGCTTTCCTAGGGTAAAATGGGTATGTGACATTATATACAGCAAAACTATTCTAATCTGGCTAGCTAAAACATAGATATTCAGGCGTTTTACTGGAATAGAGACTTTGGTACCTAAGACTATACCTTAGGTTTGATATTTCCTACTTACATACCAAATTTCATATTGATCAAACAAAAAATAGGAATTCTTCTTAGTCAAAGGCTGGGTATTTCTTGGTCGGGACTCTCCACTCTATAGGTATTTTTTGTAGTTTATGCTGAGCTCACCAAGCTCGCTCGACTGTAACAAGAAGAATGGGGAGTGCTGCCGTGTGACATGTGGATTTCTTGTGACAGCATTTCGCAAAAGTTTTAGCACCCAGATCTCAGCTCGCAAACCAACCTATGCAGAGTTTATTTGCATAACTCACTCTGAGAAAATCGACAAACTTGGTTTATGGCCAACAAATTGCAATCAGAGGATAGCTTGATAACCACGCTCGGGAATTTATGCGATGTTTTTGCAAACCCAAAAAAGATAGCATATATAGAATAGGTATATTGCATTATCATTACTCATGATATCATGGTTTTAATCTGTGGTACATTTTTTAATAATAATCAAACATGTATTACCCCTGATGATATTAAAAGTTAAATGATTCAGGAAGTGACAACACCACTTATAACTGCGGTGTTATTATACCGATCGCAACTGTTTTGCACGATTATATCACTCATACTACACGTACACACGAACTTTCTTTTTTGGGGCTCCAACAGATCTACCAAGTTCAGTTCCGGTTGCTGATTCTTTTGTCTGGGTCTTGGTGCGTGTGTACGGGTTCGTGTTTTGGGTGAAAATGATAGTTTATTATCATAATTAATCCGGGTTAATGTTTATTGTTGGACAGCGTTTTGCTGACTTTCGCTTGTGCATACACATATATATTTTTCGTAAGCTTCTTTTTTTAATAACGGAATTTTTAATTTGATAAGAACTCAAGATAAATAATCACTTCCCAGGGGATTGTTGGCTTTCTTCGGAATAAATATTGGACGCAAACAGAAATCATAACTCAAGACACGACTCATAAAAGTTCTCCGCCGCTTACCTCGGACCCATTTGCCAGTTAATAAATATCAAAAGAGTCCGAGGGTTGACTTCGTTTTGTTTGTTTTGGGTTCACTCCAAAGGGGTTTTAGAGCGGATAAACAACGACTTAACAAGACCGCCGACTGCAGACCAGGAGGATGGGTATCGAAGCCAGCGGAACGGGGCAGGAGGTCCTGGCAGCCCTTTGAGAAGTAATTTTTTTGGCAGCTGCCATCCAAGGGGGTTCATTACCGGTTTATTTTTTTGGAAGGACGCGTGCGCCAAGTCAAACGCAGGATAACCCGTAAGTGTGTCCTGATGGCGCAAACGTAATTCTATTTACTTAGTTTCCCCCGATTTTTTATGGTTCCGCATTTGCAATTCTTTTTAAACAGAAGGGAGAAGAAACTGGAGCGGAGTGAGGTTTTTTTTCTGAATAAACAAAGTCTGTTAACATTTTTTGTTTATTTATTCCCAGCTCATATTATACCGGAGGCTGTTCGGAAATCGAGTTAAAAGAACTACGTACCCTGCAAAGGGTAAAATACGGATTTATTTTATGACTTTCTATATTCAATTAGTCGAAATATCAATTTGTATTCCCCACTCTTAAGACCGCCCTATGCGCATTTTTGACATATTTGGAAGGAAATCGGAGAACGTATGCGTTTCAAATTCAATTTCAATAATGTCCCCTCGGGGTTGGCTATAAATTCTATCGCCTGACACTCTATAAACATGGAAATGGATACTGCAATATATTTTGTAAACTTTACATTAGTTGAAAAGGTTTTGATTTGTTTCGAATTTTAATGACATACACCGAAGTGACGCAGGGTGATGATTTATATAAATCCATTGACGGGGGATGTACTGCACCACAGTGTGGATAATTTTGACCCAAATGGAAGTCAAGTCCCCTCCCGCCCATGTGTACGTACTACCACCACCGGAACAGAAATTTTATGTGAGTTGTGCGTGATCTTAGCAATTATTACCTCCCCAACTTTCAGACTGGGTCCGTGCCGTCAGCGACAAATCTCCTCGGTTAGCCGTAAAATCGAGAGGCATGTGGAAAAGTGATAATCGACGAGGTGAGGAATAGGTTCTGACACTCAGAAATGTGAAGATTCTTTTTATTAATTTTAATGGCCCAGCTCACAACAATAGAAATTCAGCCTAAAATAGAAAATAAGTAGAATGAAAACATGTTTGTATACAAAGAAAATAGGTAAGTTCTTTAATCTATGTAACTTCTCTTGGAATTCTCGGTAAACAATAGAGATCCCATAGATACTGCGTTATAGAGGCAATTGAGAAAGAAACCGCAAATTTGGCGGTGACAGTAAAACGGAAACTTTCGTATCTAAACGAAACGAAACGATGGCAATCCAATAGATATCAACGAGTCACAAACGATGACAAGTACAAAAGTCGCAATTAAATCTTGAGAAGTAGTGGGAGAAAAGGGCAGAGCCCAAAAACACATTCAATAGATAGCTGTAATGTGGAATAGACAGACCGAAAGAGAACACAATGCCAATTGTCTTGGGTGGGCGTTTCTCAAATGGGGGAAGAAACGTATAGCTACAGAAAAAAAACGGAAGACAAATCAATCGAATGGAGAGCGGAGCGTTTGCAGTAGCCTGATGAAATCGCCCAGATACTAGATAAAAGTATAAGTACCACATAGCATGGAAAATTGTTTTGGCATGGAATGTAAAGAAAGCACTACAGTTAGCTCTCAAATTAACTTCCTGCAAGTTGGGAAAACTGACAATTTGACAGGAAAGAAAGACTTTCCTTGCAGCAACAAAGAAGCAATTTATGGTTATCACAGATCCCAAATTGGTTACGATTTGAGTTCAATCAGATACGCTTAAATATAGTCGTATGTACATAAGGTCTCTTATAAAATGGGAACAATAAAAAACTTCAGAATAAGAATCTTGCTCTAAAAATAAATTTGTCAATTTAAAATATTTCTTTATTTGGTTTGTAGTTATTTATCAAATTAAACTACATAAAAAATGGATTTTCTTTAAGTGCAACAACGAATCATTAAGTTCCAAAACTTCGATAACGGATTAGTTATTCAAGAAGAATTCACACAAAATGTTCCCAACCGTTTCGTAGTTCATTAATCAATTTCATGAGCAATAAATTCGATTTTCCTCTAATCAACATAAGCGAACAAATTGAGGTCATTTTTCCTGAGTCAGCATTGCGCAATTGAAAATGCCATATCTCTACTTTGGATCAGCAAGCGGATCGAAAAACTGTGATTTGTTCTGCATAATTGAATCAATTGAGTGAGTAGGGGCCGCAGCAGAAGCAGCCGCATAAAGAACATTTTCATAATTAGAGCAACCGAAAGAGATTCGGAGAAAAATTAATGGAATTGTTAATAATGCGCCGCACAGATTTCCCAGAGGCCCTGCATAAAAGCGCAATGTTCAAGGGGGCACAGAAATCTCGGGAGGCAGAAGTAGAGTCGAGCAATTGAAAGCTTCCGAAAATTTTCCCTCTCTTTATTCATCTTTTGCGCCGGCGCGGCCAATGCACTTTTGGTAAATATGTAGAATTGTATACACTTCAGGGCGAAATACTAACATCATTTTGACATGGATGATTTTTTTATCCTAAAAAAATTTGTATTTAATAACTACATCGATAAGGTATTCTTCAAAATTTTAAAATAAAGTATAATGTTTAACTTATTCCCTTTAAGTACACATAGTTGCTATTATTGTGTCCTTCGATGTTCCCAAGTGCGTAATGGATCGATTTTGGGAGCTGCCATTAAACACACTTAAGCCTCGAACTCGGTCTCGAAAATCAAATTTAAATACCACTCAGACTCAAATTAATTCAGCGTGCTCAAGTTTTATGAGTTATCAATTGAGACCGTTTTTGTACCGAGGCAGAGGGAAAAGTATCGACTGCTATTGATTGGAAATATGGGAAGCAGAGTTCAAATGCGTCACGATCGCAGTGCTGCGGTAGAATCGCCCCGCCCAACCAAAGATTTATTATGCTGGAGAGCCGAACGGAAGCCTCTTCAAAATGCGAAGAAAAGAGGGAGCCGCAGCATTGGGAGAATCGGAGGAGAAGAATGGCAGTTGAAGAATGCCACTTGAACAGCCAGCGACGCCGTCGAGCACTCGAAGTTCTTCGTTCTTCTCGTATGATGCATGTGAGAGAATGAAGAAAGCAATGCGATCGAGGTGGAGCAGAAAACTACAGAGGGGCTTCTGTAAGTGAAACTTTCGAATATTAATAGTTCTGCAAAGCAGACTATACAATCCAGTGCAGAAACTGCATACTTAGAAGCATTAAGGGATCCAAAACTTAGTGTGGAGGGAAGTATACAAAAATTTGAAATCTATACGTATTACATATACTTTTTAACCCAAGTGGGGGCATCTCTCCCCCATATCCCTCGCATTTGCTTAGAATAAAGATTTATTTTTATATTTATATTAATATTTTGTTATATTGAAATAATTTCAGGATACAAAAGACAAAACTCCATTTTTTTTTAGGTATAACTAGGTTCCTAAGTAAAAATCGTGTTTAAAAGGTTCGACTGTAATCTCCTTTTTCCATAGTCACCCGACAAACAAAGCGCAGGAAAAGAGGGGCTTCGCTCTAGTTGAACAAAAGGAGCAGTAACCCTCCAGCCAGCTTGGAATGGAAAATAATTGCGATTCCAGCTGGAAAACGAAGGCACTGGAGTTGCATTGCCCAAGGCCCATGTGTCTCACTTCATTTGCAGCAAATGTTGCATGTCCCTGCCAGCGGAATCGTACTATACCCACTGTATTGAGGATCGACAGGGGTAAGGACAGGGAACTGTCGCTTGTGACGAATTCCTATTTGATTTATGCACTCCCCTCTCAGCATATTTGCATGGCTTATGCTCACGCCCCTCAACATTCGATGTAGTTTTATTACCAAATCAAATACGATTCGCCATAAAGTAAACACTTTCGTCGGAAATCTGTTTCACATCAGCAGTGAACACCACATATGTGGGTTCACAGAAAGTTTCCCAACAAATTGTAATTTTATTAATATTGATATCTCTTTTTTTGTGTAGTTATATTTTTTTGTTTTACTATTAAAATATTCATCTCAAATCGACAATTAAAGGGTTGGGACCATTTAAGTATTATATTGGTCAACATTGCCTAAAATTTTTTTTGTGTGTATAACATTTTTTTTAAAATTTAAACATTTTCTGCGGGGAAAATTGCTAAAAAGCAATATTAGACTATACTTAAATTATCCCTTAATCAAAAAGAGAAATGATAAGGTAGTTTAAAAAAATATTTGTCAAAATCAAACATGTGGGAACTTTCAAATGTGTGTGTGCAAGTTACTGCCCAATCAACCATTGTTTTTAACTCCCTAAAACAAAAACCCTGCATAATTTAAACAAATATGATGGGAATTGCTGCATAAGAAATCGTCTCAGGCTCGGTTATAGATCTAAGTGATCATAAGCAGAAAAGAAGAAGAACTATTTCCCAGAGCATCCACTTGATTGATTAGTAGCTCTTCCTCCCAATCTCCAATTACACGAACAAGCGATTGGTGGAGTGTTAAATTGACTTACGACCAGCACCAAAAAGAGTTTTTTGAGTATTTCCATTTAGATTGTCTGAATTGATGAGCTCGAAAAGGAAACAAAAATCCAATCAATCTTTTGCTTCCAGGGAACGGGAACCCAACGCGTGCTCTTGTCATTTGGGGCTTCCCGTTCCCCCGTATTTACATAAATATATATATATGTGATGCCCAACCAGCTGCGTCTGCGCAACGCATTCAATCACTTCATTTGTTTCCATCCGCAGTCTTCTTGGGATCCAGCTCCATCTCATCGTCTTCTGGGCGGCACGTTCGCCGCGGCAGTAAAATGTTTTATTTACCCTGCACTTATGACCCCGTTGCGGATCGGGTTAAGTGAATCTGATACCCATATACAATATACAATATGCCCATCGCTGGCTGTTGCATTTGCATCTTATGAGGCGGTTGTCTGTTCGCCGGGGCCTCGAGGAGATCGAGCTGGAGATGGAGATGGAGTTGGAGGTGTCATTGCAACCAAACACAGACAAATGCTGAGGCAACCACTCCAACTCGCGACGTCTTCTGTCCAATGATGAATTGTGTCCCTGATTCCGTAGACAATCATGATCGTCAGATGATACTGTGGCTTCAGATGGGTTGTGTTCGGCGTGAAAACAATCAGATATTCAACAGAAAAAATTCATGTTTTAGATATTAACAAAAAACTATACATTTTTGAAAATAAATATAAACCTTGGTCAAATAATTGAATTGTGTAACATATTTTAGCTATATAGTTAAAGTCGAATCCCAACTTTTGAATAGTTTAATAATTGTACCATACTAAATATTACATACTTTTGAATAGTTAAATAATTATACCATATTGAACCAAAAATTATTTTTGGCTTAACCATTAAGTGAATGTTAGTTAATTAAATTTTCATAATAGATTTGTTACTTTATTTTCGGATCATGATGCTAAGATAGGAAAAAGTTGTATGATTGGTTTTTCAATAGGGTTTTCATTCTTGTAGAAATATTAAAATTTCCACTGTAAGATTTTGTTTGACACCAATTGAATGGAAACAACAAAGGCAGCAGGGCTACACATTCATAGGCACATTTGTAGATGCAAAGATACAAAGATACAAAAATACAGATGAATTTACAAATGCGTCTTTTGTGTCGCGCCGATCTTTAATTGCAGAATTGTGAGGGGCTCAGGCACTGGGATAACCTTCAATGCAGTTGCAGTTGCAGTCGCATTTGCAGATGCAATACTCTTGGCTGCCGCACTGTGATGGTGATTAATTTGACAGTGTGTCGCCCGATCTGCGTTGCGCGGGCTTTATTAAAAGGATTACATGCCGCACAATTCCATAAAAACGCATCTCCATCGGCGTGAGTTGAGCAGTCGCAGTAATAAGATTAATTACGAGCGTCTTGCCTCGACTGCAACTCCTTCTCCGCCTCCTGCAACAACCATCTCCACTCAGCTGCGTGACCACTTCACTTTCATAAATGGCACAGTCGTCAGGCGAAATAACAGGAACCTTAAAATTAAAATATCTGAATTTTAATATTTTTTTATCTATTTAGAAAATATTAATTTGAATTTAATATGCTAAAATATACAAAGACCTAATAAATATTATCCAATAGCCAAGAATGTGTTTTTTTATTGGAAGAGATTTCCGGCTACTAGCCTCGAATACATACTTAAAAGTGTATATCTGTACATATGAGTCCAATAATTACTATTAATTTAATTTTTTAATGTTTAAATATTTAACACAACTATCTAAAAGAGTTATTTTATTTAAAACTACATTTTTCTTGTTTTTCACAATTTTATTTACTTAAGGATTTGTCATTGGAGAATCAATGGTTGAACTTATCCGATTTATAAGACCATTCTTATATTTAAAGACAGCACCACTATTCGTGGGATTGCAACTGTATGTTTAAATGACTTTCTGTCCGTGGACAACTCCTCAATTCAATATTTTGACATTACAAATATCAGCCTCATTTACTGCCTACTGTTTCATTAATTTAAAAGCATTTCGAGTACTTTGAGTCCCCTTTCCTCGTCATATTAAGGCCAAGCAGGGGGTTGAATTAATCCCTGCCAGAAATTAGCATATTCCCAAGTGTTAGATCCTTTTGACACGCGAGGACAGGGCTATTTTGAATACGATAAGAGGCGACAATAATTGCAAATGAATAACCGCTATCGACGCGTTGTGCCTCCTTATTTATGGGGAGGCCAGGAAACAAGAGTAAAAACAATTAGTTTATTTTTAATTAACTTTCGGCTACCCCAGTGAAGAGTCTTTCGCGCATACAGAAATCTCCAAATCCCATTCCCCCAGGCGAATGGCCAATGATGATGTCATTCCCGCAGCATTCATCTCCCATAAATCACACGGCGATCGCGAAAATCCCCCAGTTTATGCTGAGAGCCATGACAACGGCCGCACCAACAGATTCGCCAGCTTGCAGCCAAGTAAAGTGGATGTGGATTGGTGTGGAGTGGAGCCAGCTGCCACAGATTAGTCAGAGTCATCCAGATTCGGATACTGGCGCACTTCGATTCGCTCGCTGCTAGGCTGCTCAACTGGTTTTCAGATCATTGGATATCCAAGCTGGGTGGGGATGGGTACCAAAGATCAAGGTGAATGGCGAATTTAATGCTCTCTAGAGGTCTAAGACTCCTCCAACTCATTATTTAACTAAGAGCAGCAATTATTACCATTTCCATCTCTTACATAAAGCGCAGAATCATCAATATGTTGCCAAGACTTAACGGTGTCCAGCTTAAGGGTCACTCCCCTCTTTCACACTTTTCTTTCGCCATAAAAATATATCTGGCAAAAAGTAACCCAAAAATCAGCAAAAAGAATCAGCAAGACAATATTTTGAGGCTGGCAAAGGAAGATATTGGCAAAACTTCAGTACTGCTTGGGCGGCTCAAAGAAGAATTTCTATGGGCTGGTCAGAATCAATCGATGGATGCCTATTCCAAAGCCCAATAAGAAGCGCCAAAGAGGCAACATTAGTATGCATACAATGGCATTTGGTACCCATGGCCATGCATATGTATGCTCGGGGCATGACTCACCTCTCCAGGTGAAAAGACCCAAACATGAGTAAATGCACATTCATGGATTTTAAATGGGCCGATGAAAATAAAGAAATAAACTGTTGGCAGCACATAAGACTCTGAGCGTGACTTGTTTCCCCCAGGTTTTCGTTAGTTGCTTTTGCGCTGGCCTCTTTGGTGCCCCGACTTGTGGACCGTCATTCATTCACGCCAACTGTTGATAAGTTTCTGTGACACATTCGCCTCGTTTGCATATCCAAGCGGCTAACGAAGCCCAGCTTGTGGCACCATTAGATAGGGTTAATGGACAACCACGGATTGGCGACAGCTGGGGTGGCATTATCACTTCTCACTTAGCTTTTATTCGGTTGCAAGGCAAACGGAAACGGCCGAATCCTTCGCTCATCGAATCACCATTAAACTAAACATAGGAAACTAGACTTTACGCCTTCTTCTCCGTGGTCCAGTTCTTGGGGCGATCGGCCATGATGGTCCAGTCGTTGTCGGCAATGTTCAGGCCACCGTATTGCTTTAGAGGAGTGTCGGGGAAGAACTCCCAGCCCTGTTCAATGGACATCTTCTTGATGACGCCGGCGATGCCTGAAAGGGTAAAGGCAAATATATTGTTAATCAAGTAGTTCTGGTTTCTGGTGTGAAGGATCAGCTAACCCAGGAAGAGGCCGGCGCAGAGACCAGCTACATGGTTGTGTTTCCAGGCTCCAAAGACGCCGCCAGCCGCGAAACCACCAATAAGGTAGTTGATTCTGTAATTGAAATATGTGGTTACAAACAGAAGAGATCAACGGGTGACTTCCTCACTCACTTGTCGTCCTTGCCGCGGGCATTTGTGGCCGCCAGGGTGGTCAGAGTAAATGCCGTGGCCATACCCATCAGCGGACCGGTGTTGTAGGCAAAGCGGCCCAATGTGGGCAGGTAGCCCTGTGGCTTGGAGAGGGTCAGCACGTCGAACATGGACCAGGCCAGTCCGGCGGACACCGCGTACTTGTTGGTGGCCACTATCTTGCCAAAGGCATCCTCCCCATCGGGATGGTCGTAGTACTTGGCGCGGAGCAGCGACATGGTTGTCTGTGAACCAAATGGAGAAGCAAGAACCATTAGCCACAAACCAAATACTGAAATCCAGAGCCCCTCATGCTCTTGAAGCCCTCTGGAGCAGTGGCAATTGGTCCTTGGTATTTCTGCTACCCCTTGGAGCTCTTCTAAAGGGTAAAATACCCAGAATTACCGAGGAATAAACATTAATTTACTAACCTGCCGAAATTTACGTAATTATTGTGGCGGAGATTGACAAAAAACAGCTGATGGCCAGTGTGTACCTACGGTATGAAGAAAAATGCAAAATGTGTGCTGTTAGGCGCACTCTGTTAGGCACTCTTTTAAGCTGCACTGTTAATTTGAAAATAATATCTTTTACAGAAGTAAATGATCGTTACTTTTTTAATAATTTAACGAAAATATTTTTATTTTTATTTTATACATATTAATCAATCTTATAATATTTAAGACTACAACTGAATACAATAAAATCAAGAACATGAGTTTATGATTAGGAATGATTTTGTTCCGTTTAATCAAGATCTTTTCAAAGATATTTTATTTCAGAAGTCTAAGACCATAATTAACTTACCTTTTCGATTCCTTGCAGTTGGTTCACATATAAATAAAACGCTTTTCCATATCAAGTTCGGTTTTCAATTTATTCATTATACTAGGTTCACAAACGCTGTAGCACTAACTTTAGTTGTTTAATCATAATGTGCAATCGATCGGAACTTTGAGTAAATTTCCTTGACAAGTTACTACGGGGCTCTGAATGCGAAGAGTTCTCAATAATAGATGATGCGGTTGAAATATATATGCGCTTAGCTTATAATGGTAGACTAGTTTTTGCATTGAGTTTCAGCTAACAGTATTCACATAAAATCATGCAGTTTACGAAGACCGCGGTTTTTCTAATCGAGTTAAGGAGTTTTCCCGACATGCAAGTAGGACTACGTTTGACCGAAAATGAGAAAAGTTTTTCAAGAGCAGAAAGACAGGGTTTGTGATTTTAGAGGGAGACAAAACGTTGGCGTTTTTAAATCAAAACAAAGATATCAAAACATACAATATGTATATACAAATAAGATATCAAATTATTGGCAAATCTGTTTCGTGTTAATCAGTCATAATGTTCGTCGTTTAACGAAATTAGCAACGAAATTTCACTCGGCCCTTGCTATATAGTTTCGTCTGAAAAAATCGTCGTTATAATTGCCAAAATATGGGTATATAAAATTCGAGCGGTATACATTAAAGTATACATCTTTGTCTACTGCTCGTCGTGTCCAATTATTTCGATGTCATCAGCCAGAGGACTTTCCACTGGGGATTTGCCTGCATTTCCATTTTGTTGATTTGAGTCCAAATTAATCAATGACAATGTCATTCTGCTGCTAAGAATGATCTGACAAATAGGATAAAGATTAGTAAGTCAAGTGGTAGATTGTGTGCTTATTCATACGGCTGGTTCCTCGGCTGATCCATTGAGCTCAGAGTCGTAGACCTCTTCTTTGATTTGAGAGTCGGCCACCAAAATCTGAGAATCGTGGCCCAAAGCGCCTTCCAAGTAAATGGCCTGCGGCTCCGGCAAATTTTCTTCCAATTTGGACTGAAATTGGTAGAGAATTAAACTTATTATTTCAGTCATAACTTTTAAAAAAGCTTGAACATATATGCGCAGCAGTGGGTTAGTTTTCTTAACTCTAAAAATACAATTTTCATGTTGTATCTTTTTTAAATCTTTTAATAGAACATAATATAAGGAAAATGTATCAAAAGCATAGTAGAATAAAAAAAAGTCACAGAGATCATTAAGATTTTATAATCAGTTAAAAGTTCTCTAAAAAGTATAAAAGAAAAAAAGACGATTTTCTGAAAAAATACTTTTTACTTCTTAAAAAGTATAAAAGAAAAAAGGACGATTTTCGGAAAAAATACTTTTTACTTCTTAATTTAAAATAATTTGTTGCATACTTTTAAACGTCTTTATAAGACATTTGATTACTGAAGAATGAAACTCTTCCTAATATGGAATATAGTAAAACTAGAGGCTATGGCAAAAGGGTCACACAACAAGGTCAAGTTATATTATGGGGTTTTAATAACTTTAGATCTTAATTGGATGGGAGATTAATAAGGAAAACATCCCAGTTCATTGTTTTTGGTATGGTATTGGGAAGTGTTAGGTCCAGAACTTATTGGATGGTTGGTTAGCAATTAGTCATAGGAGAAGCTTAGAAGTATATAACTTAGAACTGGATCTGCAAGTGGTGGGTTGTGCTACTGTGGCACTTACATGTTCGCTTGGCGCTCGGAAAACAGGCGTTGGAGGGCGTCCAGTCCACTTGTGGCCGCCCTCGCAACTGGCTGTTAACTCCATGCCGAGTACCTGCACCAATATTCGATTATTTACGTCAACGGCTCTACGGATTCCAGATGCAAAATAAAATATTATGGCCTACCGTTAGTTCGCGTTCAGCGCTCAGATCCCGGCGTTTCCTGCCTCCCTTCGCTGCTGTCTCCTGTTCCGGTTTTTGGTCGGTGTTTGCATGTCCGTTGGAAAGGTTCTGCTTGTCTAGTTGCTCTCTCGTTTTTTCGTTGTCGTTTTTCTGGGGGACGCATAAAAAAAAGGGTTAGACTTCCACTTTCGAAACACCCTAAATCTCAGATCAAAGCAAGAATCTACAGCCTCGAAACGTAAAAATAATAAACGCATTAATTACTTCAATTCGTTGTGGTTAGGTGAAACGCAACAAAACTCAATTAGTCGAAGGATCTTGGTTAATAAACAAAAAGATTAAATACTCGGATATCCAAGAGTTAGAAAGTTATATATTCAAGGATTGCCGTGCCGGACCCTTTGACGGTCTCTAACCTTATTCGAATCAGTTTCAGTATCGCTCGTCGCCCTCTGCTTGTCTTGGCCGTTCAATTGCTCATCGGCCGCGTCTATCAAACCTTGTATGGCCGTAACAACTAAGCCCCAAATTATGGGGTTTCCAATTTAACAAATTCATTGGTTCATTTTTTTGGGTTTGTTTTTTACACACATTTGTGAGAAACATGAAAAACGTAGAAACGACAGAGAGTGAATATTTATATAGTAGTTTCTGTTAAGCTTAAACAATGGAATGATATTTGCGATTATCTTAATTGGGAATGTACTGGATGTATCGGTCTAGAGAAAGTGTTCGAATAGATATCGAAAAAGACTTTTTTGAATCGTAAAATATGTCCCCATCATAAGAGTTTAGTTGAGCGAGAGATAGAGAGTACTCAGTGAGAGATGCAAACACATTTAGACAGGATTCGTTAGTTAGTACGGGTACACAGGTGGAAAGATATGGTAGTATATCGCATGCCGATAGCAGACAAGCAGGTTAAAATAGAAACAGAGTCGGGTGAAGTCCGTTCCATGCACTTGTTGCAAATACATATAGACAGAATGGATAGGGTAGATAGGATTTGGGGGTCAGGGAAAAGAAACCATTCCAAGGATTCCACTAGATCCACTAGAAACCAACAGAAAACAGAAACAATCTATGTATTTGCCGGCTTGTACTTAGTTGTGATCTGAGTTGTTGGTCTGATTTTGGTCTGTTTACTGACTGATTCTATGTGAACTGAATGATGGTTTAGTTTTTTGTCTTAGAAGTTTGGCTGCCGCTTGAGAAACTTGAGGGCAATCATCTTGAAAATGAGAACACAAAAGAGGATAAAAAGAGATTAATAAATGATGGGAGTACGCTGAACTGAAATCACTACGATGATGTGGTACTACGTAAATGTATCTGAATCATTAGCCTTAGCTTTGTATCTGTATCTGGTATCGGTATCGGTAACTGGTTTCCATGGTTCGATGCTAACCTTTGCCTCATACTGATCGGTGTTCATTTCGGCCACCAACTGGGCCATCGCCCGCTCCGTGGACTCGAGCTTTTGGCGCAGCTTCTCGATCTCCATCAGCTGCTCGGCCTCCTTCAGCTGCTGGTGGTTCTTCAGCGAGGTGGACAAACTGCTGGCCACCTCGGTGGCCGACAGGCTGGCGTTGTAGAGCTCCTTTTCGGTGTCCTTGGCGGCCGGCGACTTCACGGCAGCAGCTCCTATAAAATTGTCGTACGATTTGGCTTTGAGATTGATAATCAGGGCCCACAAAAAAATGACTAACAAAACTAGGGGGTATTTACACGGGGGAAAGGAGTGTTGCAACAAAATAAATATATATGTAATAGGTATATATCCATATAGGCGTGATTGATTCGGGGTTAGTAAATATATAGTATACACAACATCTAGAGTAAGTACATCTAGGTAAAAATGAATAAACACATATTTGCTACGACAATAAAATACTAAACCAAATGAGGAGGACATATTTCAAAACTCAAAAGGCCTTCGCCGAAGTCTAGAAACTCAAGATACGAACGGAACTCTATGGTCATCTATGGTACCATCGGTATCTGGCTTACTTGTCTGATGCTCTCGCCAGCCTTTTTCGTAGGATGATTTTTGATATTTGATTTTCGGAGTGCGTGGGCAGAAGCAGAAGAGTACAAAATGAATTTGTTTTGGTTAGGATTGACTCGTGAGTGCATGTGTACGTGTAGTAATTATCCGGAAGATGGGATCCGGCAGATTGTATAACTCACCCAATTTGCTGCTGCCTAAATCCTCCACCTGACTGTGGTTCTGCTTTCCGAAGACCTCCTGTCGGAACGAAGGATTCGATGGTGCTGGTCCGTACGGTTCATTGGGAACTTGCTTCTTGAACATTATCTACAAGGGAAGGGGTTAGTTTTTTGTTTTTTGTATAACTAAGTTCAAAGCGATGGAGTTACCTTCATCAAGGTGTAGCCGAAGAACACCACAATTCCGACCGTGTAAAGGGGCATCAGAAAGCCCATGCTACTGCCACGCTGCTGCGGTTGATGCAGTGCTCCGGCTCCCATGGGCGGACGCATTCCAGGAATGGGTCCAGGCTAAAAATGTTAATGTATTATTTTATTGATTATAATAACACCATTTTTTAACCTTACAATAACAAGACAATAAAAAGAGGTAGCTACTTAAAGCTTTATAATAACGTTTTGAAAATAAAAGGGGTTTCTTAGCATAGATCCTAATAAGTTTTGTTCAAATGTAAGTTCCAGTCTATTAAGGATTAGGCAAAATATAAACGGCCATGATTTTTAAAACAAGGAAAAGACGGAATTTAAGTTAATAAAAACTTTCCAGAAAACCAGGCATGCAATAACATTATCGATAAAGTGTTATCAAATCTTACGGTTCTCCATATACTCTGTTTCCTAATAAATTTGATAAAAATCTAACGGATGTAAAAACCTATTGTTTTTAAAAGCATTCAGTATAATTTTGGGAGATTTTAAGCACATTTTGTGATACCAAAGTTACTTTATAAGTTCTATGATTACGGGGAAATGTAATCATAAAAATTACGTATCCGCCCCGGTGTACATATATTGACATGAAGATTTTATTAAATCCCTGGACTTTTTAGAACTGACTCATTTTATGTTTGCTGTCAATATTTTTTAAGTGCAGGAAATTCATTGGCTACCAAATTGAGTTTGCTTTCGACCTGTAATAATAAAAATCGCGTATCCGCCTTGATGTATTTTGACATGAGCAGCGTACAGCTGATTTTGTTCTCTTTGGCTGTTCTACCATCTATTTGCTTTGGACGAGAGCGAATTGGAACTGGCGCACTGAATTTGGCACAAGTTCAATATGTAGAAGCACATTCTGCCGATCTCCCACTCATCCTTTACAGATTCTTTTTGTGTTTTCTTTAGCGCTGTCTTTTGCCTTCAATTTGCGTGCAGTGTCATAAAAACAAAACCCGAATCCAAATAAAATAAACGTTTGGCTATTTATAAATGACTTCCAACGCGAGCGCGGATATGCCTCATCCCGCTGTCATTATAATCAGTGCGACCACAGCCGCCGAAAAATGTGTATAATTGTGGATTTATCATCCGGAGAATAATGCAAATCTTATGGTTAAAGCCGAAAACTTACCCGACCGTCCACGATCCGCGGAGGCGGATTACTGGGTGAGGTTTTCCGTTGTTCCAGTATCGGAACTGTTTGCGTGGCGGGAATGGCACGACCCCGCTCTTTCATGGCCTGGTATATGGATTCCGGATGCAGGTGGGCTGGACGCTCCTGGCGCAGACCTGAGACGAGTACGGGTTTATTAGTTAGCCATGCATTTCCTTTAAACTTTAGGTAATAAAACACAAATTTCGGTAGGCAAATGGCAGATTCAGAAGCCGGAAGTTATGGAAAATAATTTTAAAAAGAACACAATACCATTTGTTTTATTAATCATCGGTTAGATAGGAATATTGCTAGTAATAAAACCAAGTGTTAAGAATAAAATTGTAACTTCTAACTAATGATTAGATTTTTTAACATTCCATCCAAGAAACGTTTAATTTGCATTGTAGATCGTTAGAAAAGCCACACAAGGTTAGTAAAATAAATAAAATAAATTAATTCAAAATTAGGGTTAAACTGTTAGGATTATTTTTTATTTGTACATCACAAAACAAAATACTCATGTTTTGTAATACAATCTATCCAGAAGTTGAATACCCTGAGAAATAAGTTATTTTATTTCTTTAAGCCCAATAAATATTACATATCGTTAGAAAAGCCCAACAAGGTTAGTAAAATAAATTAATAGAACACCGTTGCTTCACATACTTATTTCGCCCGTGTAAACATTGATTTGTTTGCGATACAAATGCGGACCGAATGGCTCTACATGGTCCTTTTTTGAGACATTTATAAACTGCTCCCTGTCAAGCACAACGTCACAACATCCTAAAACATCGACAGCACAGCCCACACACAACACCAACCACATACGGAAATAAATAGAAAATAATACAAATAAATAATAAATTACGGGAGAATAAGTATCAGTAATTTGATAAATCGTAACATTTGTAAACCCTATGGATTTTTCAGGGAACATTATTGTTAATAAAACTTTGAAAACAAGTAAATATTTTAGGATAATAACTAATTAATTTTCAAAAATATAACTTATGATAGAAATATATTTAAAAACCAATAAAAGTTAAGGTAAAATTTGTTTGGAAGAGACTTGTAGTATGAAACATTTGCTTAGTTTTATTTTTATACATGAAGATAATTTTGAACCTCTAGTGTTTACTTATGCTGATTGACCAGTGACATTAGGAAAAAGCTCGTTTGGAACTAAGGTATTTTTCATTTTAATAAATATATAATTATGCGGTAGAGAATCTACAATACCGTCCAAAAGAGCTTTTTTATAAGGGTACAGGAAATCTGAAGACTCACCGCCGGGAGCTGCTCGCTGATCCTTCAAGTTTGGCTTGGGCGGCGGAACACCGCCGAACATCATGGGATGGAAGACCTTGGGCCAGAGAATGGCGATGCATCCGATCACGGTGACAATGATTAACGCAGTTTTCTTGGGCGTCATTCCCTCCTCGACGGCCGGAGGCCTTTGCTTCGATGTGGCTGTTGCAGGCATTTTGGCTTAGATCGGTTTGTATCTCGATTCCGTATGGCTATTGGTGGCGGTTAAAGCTAGTTCCTAAGGCAACTCTGCTTATATATTCCTGATCGATTTGGTTCGTTGATGGCTCTTTGCGAGCTGTTGACTATGTGGTTGCTTCTTTTTGGTTAACTTTGACATTGGCTCATGTTGGCTGGTTAATGGTTGGTTTCTGTACGTTTAAAGCATTATCTGAAAGATATATAGATGCATAATGTGGTTACACGCTTCGTTGAGTTTTGGTTCACACCACTGGTCACAACGAATCACAACGCAAAACGCTGTACGCGTTTAAATATTCTTGCGGGAAAACAAAAAAGTTTATTACATAAATAGCGGTCCCGATCTTTTTTATTTTTAGCTCGCGCAATTCGCTCTTTTCGGCCCCGTCTAATAATTCTTTATTATTTTCACTTTTCCTAGCACACACAAATCACAGGGGCTCTTCACAATTAACGACCGCATAAAAAATATTGAATGTTTCTCCAAAGAAATAACGTTTTAATTTGGAAAACAGTTTGACGGCTGGGAGGCCCAAAAAACTGGACAGAGCGAGTGTGCTTACGCAAAGTTCGAATGTTGTTCCCGAACTGGGCAGGCAAATTTTTGAAACTATTAGCGAATTTTCGCCAGATCAGATCTGAAGACCCGACACGACGAAAGCCAAAGCTATTCGGGTTCGGTCTTCCTCATAATCGTCGTCGGCCATTATTTTTCTTTTATTTTTTGATGAGACAAGTGATTTGCAGCTTGGGCCTGCACCGGGAATTTCCGAGGGGTTCCCAAACATACAGCGGCAGTCAAAACTTTATTACTTTCTTATCAGTCTATAAGTTAAACAAATCTCAATATGCACAAAATTTTAAAATGGTAAGAAATTTTTTTTGAAAATCCAAAAATTAAACTTAAATATACATGTTAATTATAATTGATCGAAAAAATTAAAGTTTTTAAGTTCCCTAGAAAATAGTACCTTATTACTAAACAAAGTAATGACTTTCTGCTTTTATGTATTACTTTAGTAACTAAAGTTTAGTTATACGATTGAACTTAAGACATTCTTTAATCCCTTTATGTAGTGAAAAGTATATTTTAGGAAAAACAATTATTAAAATACATATCTAAAGTGATGACTGACACTGTATGTACCCATGCGAACTTTTCGTGTTTTCATATTTTTCATTTCGCAGCATCTTCTCTCTTGTTATCACATACACACTAACAAGTATAATGAGTTTTCCCAACGTTTTCCATTTCGCTTTCAAACGCACTGACTGGGAAACGGCGAAAGTAAAATTGTTTAACCGTGCACTGTTGTTATTTTTACTGCAGCTTTTTATTTAAGCTACCTGGATTTTTATTTCACTTTTTATTTTCTTGGCATTGCCCGCATCCGCAGATATATTTTTTTGGAAAGTGATTTCTTGTTCTCAGTGCTTTTATTTTTGGAGGTACGGCATTGTAATTTCGGTTCAATGTCGTTCAGCTCAAGACTCATCACTTATTTTTATTTATAAAATATGAATTCAAAGTGTGGAGATTTCGCACCCTATGTCCTTGGAATTCTTCTCAAGTTTTACAGCACATTTTGATAAATATTTACCAGTTAATTAACATTAACACCTTAGGATTAATTTCAAATTTCGTTATCTTATCTAACTATTGCTAATTTCAAACTGTTTGTTTGTCGTTATAAATTTCTCTGCCAGAAGCAGCAGCAATAATAATTGATTTTTTCGTCGCTCGAACGGAGATGGGCAGCACTGTCCGCTAGTCGATACCTACTCGTAGTATCGATACTTTCCATATATTTGCTTTTAACAGAGCATTCCCACTACTTTTGTATTGTGTGTTGAGCCACGAAAATGAAAACTTAATAGTTTACAAAATTATTAATATAGAAATTTAGTTGGATAAATAAAGTATATATTTTGTAAACTCTTTTACTGCCGAAACATGGCAATTAGTAACTATTTACTGTTTAAGTTAGCTTCTTCAATAGCCCTAAATGACATGTTTAGGCCATAAAGTATGCTTTAGAAATTAGATGGCAAAAATGTAAGTTTGTTGACGGCATTAAGCTTCCATTTTTACAGCTCATAACATTTCATTGGGACCCTGGGGATAGATGAGGGGAAAAGGATTTCTAATGATCGACAAAGACTCGCATATATTCCAGAATATAAGTTAATAATTAATTATTATCGTATTCTATGATGCCTTAACTGTAGTGTACTCACTTTTGAGTATTCGACAATGATGCGAGAAGTCTGAACGGACCAATAACGATATTTTGAAAACATCGATGACATGCAAGTTGACATCGATGTTTCGTCTCCTTTGTGTTATAAAATTTCAATAAATTTATAAATACTACGCATTTTCCGCTGGACAACAAAATAAAGACGTGACTTTGGAGAACAATAGTGCAAGAAACCTATAAAGTCGAGTATCCTTTAAATCGAAAGTCAAGGGGCGATTGGCGTGGATGGTTTCTAGGCTTTCTCCCACGAAACTGGAGCTAACAATGGACAACGAGTCGTGGGCCTGTTCGTCGGTGGAGAAGGACCTGACCCGAGTCGTTACCAAGCTGGAGCAGCTGCACGAGAACGCCTCGGCGGACATCGGGGACATAGCCACCCAGATGTCGGAACTGGTGGAGGTTCTCAGCAGGGCGGAGCAGCTGGTGACCACTCTGAACTCGAGCACACAGGTCTCCCAGGACGATCCCATGGGCGATGCAGGTGGGGTGAGCATGCAGGTGGAGACGGAACCGACGGCCCCGCAGCGCCTCACCGAGCGTCAGATGGAGAGCATCCGGAAGGCCATCTCCAGGTGCAACGAGCGGGTGCAAAAACTGTCCACGGAGCATCGCGATCTGCACGGCTCTATCTCGAAGATTGGCAAGGCCATTGACCGCAACTTTAGCGCCGACTTCACATCCACCATGCGCGTTGACGTCCTGCAGGACGAGGAGAACCTGATGCTGTTGAACAAGGCCATTGCCAAACACTATTGCCGCCAGGGCATGGACGATGTGGCCCGCACCCTGATCCGCGAGTGCAAGATGTCGCCGGAGCACGCCCAGGATGTGTTCGATTCGGAGCGCGAGTTCGCCGACATCTACGGCATGTGGGTGAAGATCCAGAAGCGGGATTTGACCGACGCCCTCAAGTGGGCGAAGATGTATTCCCAGCAGCTGAGTGATCGCCACTCGCTAATAGAGTTCCGGCTGCACCGTATGCGCTTCATGCAGCTCGTTTCCTATGGGTTGGATTCGCAGCGCGAGGCCATCTGCTATGCCAGGCTAAACTTTAAGAAGTTTGCTGTGCGCTACGAGCACGAGATTGCCAATCTTATGGCAAGCTTCATATATCTGCCGAGCGGGCTGGAGAACTCGCCGTACAAGCACTTCTTGGGCCAGGAGATGTGGACCGAACTGTCGTTCATATTTCTCAAGGATGCCTGCCAACTGCTGGGCATCAGCAAGAACTCGGCCCTGTCCGTTGTGGTCAACGCCGGATGCACTGCCCTGCCCGCCCTGCTCAATATCAAGCAGGTGATGCAGTCGCGCCAGGTGCTGGGCATGTGGAACGGCTGCGACGAGCTGCCCATAGAGATCGATCTGCAGCCGGAATTCCGCTTCCACTCGATCTTCGCCTGCCCCATCCTGCGCCAGCAGACCTCTGAGGACAATCCGCCCAAGAAGTTAACCTGCGGGCACGTCATATCCAACGACGCCCTGCACAAACTGAGCGTTGGGCACATACTCAAGTGCCCCTACTGCCCCGTGGAGCAGAATGCCGAGGAGGCTGTACGCATCTACTTTTAAGCAACACATCTATGTATTCACCCTACGATAATCACCACTGCTTATATGGCCAGGCTCGGGCAGTTCGAGGACTGGTGTTGGTTGGTTGGCCGGCTTTCCTTAACAAATCGTAACCATTTTAAGATAGCTTGCTTAGATTCATGTTTTTAGACAAATTCGCAGAGCGGAATCGAACTACCTGGGCCGTCTGTTGTGCGTGTGTTCCACATCCTAACAAACAATTTAGATTTAAAATATATATACTGTGTATTTAAAGCAAACGACGAATGTGTTTTTATGTAGAATCAATGTTTAATTAAATGCGAATCGTCCGAAGTGCAAACTCTAGTGTCTATGCTTGTGCTTGTGCTTGTCGCTGCGGTGTCTCGGAGGAGATGGCTCTTCCCTTCGCGAGGATCGCGAGGAGAAAGTGGTTGGAGAACTGCGTGACCGGGACGACGAACCTCCGGCCGGGCTCTCATAGCGGGAGCTGCGAGAAGATCCAGACGGACTTCGCGATCGATTACGCTTAGACGATTTGGAGGAGCGGGAGGTTTCTGGCGAGTAGTCTCGGCGTTTCGATTCTCCAGCGGAGTACGGAGAGTGCGAACGTTTGCGCGAACTGCTGCTGAACTGTGCTGCACTTTCACTGACCTTTGAGCCCTTTGGTTTGCTGTGCATGTAGCTCAGAGGAGAGTCCACCGTAGTTTCAGATCTCGAGTCCTATTCGAAGGGAATTGATTTATTAAATCGGACTTAAGGTTTGTAAGGAGACCTACCTGTTTGAGCAATCGCTTGCGGAAGTATTCCACTTGCTCGGGCACAGTCCAACCGGGCTCTAGACGCCGTTTTCCAGACTCCAATTCGTCCTGATACTGAATGGCTTTCAGTTCAATTTCTCTTAACTTCTGTCGCTTCTCATCGCTAAATTTCTGTGGGTTGTCATCTTCGCTCTCATCGTCCGAGCTAAAGAACTTGGGAGGATCTGGTGGATCGAGGGTGTCCCATTTGCTGGTAGTAATCGCCTGCGCTTCTACTTGCTGGGGGTCAACTGTCTCCCATTTTGAGGGTATAAAGCCGGGCATTTTCGACGTAGGCTTGGTATCCTTTTCCAGTGGTATACCATCGAGGTCCTCATCAACTGGAATTTTAGATTTTATGTAATTAAAAAGAAGGTTTCAATGACTTGTACAGGCTTACAAGGTATGCCATCAATTTCATCAAGGTATTCATCTCTTTTTGGCGTTTCACGCTTAGGTGTCGCAGCATCAACGTCGGGTATGGCTCGCATCAAGGCGCTCTTAAGCAAAGCAGCTCCGTCCAGAGGCACTCCGTCAAGATCTTCATCGTCCTTTTCCTCTCCGGAGAGCGGGGCACCATCAATATCTTCGTCCAGAGCCTCTTCAGAGCGTGTTTCTTCGGCTTGAGGTGAAGAACTGACCGGCATGACGTACTAAAAGTCAGATTTTATTATAAAAAATATATAGTTAATAATAAAATCCACAAACTTACCGGTTTTCCGAGGAACTTGGCCGTCAGCTGAGCCATAAACTCCTTGGGATATATTGTCCAGTCCTCCCAGGTGCGAATTACATTGCAGACTCTAGACTTAAAGCCCTCCGCTTTCAATCGGCTCTCAAAGTTTTGGTAGTAATTATGCAGATTTTCAAAAATATCCAACAGTTGCTTTTCAACACTGAATAATAAGGGTTACTCCATGATTTAGCCTCAAAATAATTAATAAACTTACGACTTGCGAAAGAACGAAGCATTGGCCACTTTAACCGTGCAGTTGTGGAGTATATCGGAGATCAAATAAAGTCGAGCAATCTTCTTGGAAGCCAGTGTATTCAAGTTGGATAGAGACTCGGCAATGCACTCGCAAATTTCATCGGCAGCATCAGCATGCTCTATGCAGAATATCATGGCGTCCCCAATGCGGGCGCGTTCCGGTGTTAGTTGCCTGATCAGATCCTCAAGACGATCTCGTTGCCTGTGGAAAACATTAAAAGTAGTTGATGATGTATATTTCTGGAAAAGTATCTATTCTCAACGTACGCATTGGACAAGGCTCCTTTGTGCACCACAGGGGCATCAGGATCAACAACAAGCTCATCTGGCATGCCCTGCGTGTAAAAGTTGGCAATGGGAGGCCTCCAAACCGGTCCGTCCTTGAACATTCGGAACTCATCCTCTCGCCATTCATTGGGCGTGTCGCCCTGCAGCAAGGAGAAAAGCTTCCATCGGTAGTATATATGGGCAGGACTCTCGTTATCGAAGAGAAACGAGAACAGTGGATTCTCCATTTCCCGAATCATGATCAGGGCCTCAAACATCGGACCCTCGCGAATCACAAACTCGATCATCCGGTGAATGATATGTAGTACGGCCCTGAAATATTGCACAATCATGTCAGTTGGCATAAATTAAAAGTTCTGGGAGTAGTTTTTACTTCTCTGTTGGGATGTGAACTTTAACGACGCATTTGGCCAGTATCTATTAAATTAAACAGTGTCAGTTGTACTTTTTATTTTTGAAAATGGTTTGTAACTCACCCTCTCCATATTTTCCTTGTCTTCTTCCTGGTCGAATTCCTTGTAGTTCTTTTTGGGCAGTACATCAGCTTCACTTGGTGGCGGTTGGGCGTTAAAGGGCAATCCCGATGGAGGCGGTGGAAGGGTCATCTCCAGCAGGGCTTGAGGGGCAAAGATAGGCGTGTTCATGATAGGCACAGTCTTTCCTGAAGAACAGATGTAATGAACAAATCATAAGTACATTGAACTCAACGATTTTCAGCTGTAGGTTACCCCATCCTAAGCGCATCTCGTAGCCCATGATGTAGCGCCCATTTAGTGTCCTCAGAGCCCTCTCGGCATCCTTGCGACTCATGTAAGCCACAAAGCCGCAGTTGCGTCCCCTCTGCTTTTCCTCCTCGGAGCGGGGCCACATTATTTTGATGCTGGCAAGGGGACCGTAGCGCCCAAAGATTTCCATGAGCTGCTGCTCGGATATCTTGGGATTCAGATTGCCCAGGTAAAGATTGGTGGTATTTGGATCGCCGGTATCGAAGGACCCAGCATCCTTGGAGCTGTTCGAGCCCTGGGAGGTGGTGGATGCACTGCTGCTGGGCACTGGAGCAGCTGCCGCTGCCGCTGCCGCCGGTTGCTGGGCTGGCGGAGCATGGGATACGGCTAGATGCTTGTACTTGTGGCGTTCCTCGCGCTCTTCTTGGATTCTGCAAGCAATTAACAATTAGAAGGTAATACCTAAAATGAATCGCTATCTAGCTCACTGTCTCAGCTCTTCCTTGAACAGCTCCAAGTTGCTCTTTTTCTTCTCCTGGTTTTTCTTCTTCAGGGGACCTGACTCCTTCTTTAGATCCGAGGCCAGTGTCTTGGCATACTCCTCGGCCTTGTCGGCGGTGGTCTTGTCCTGCAGCTTGGAGACGGGCTTGTAGAGCTTGCCCTTCTCCGACTTATCCTCCCGCCGGGAGCCTGCATCGTAGGTGCCGGCTTTGACCCAAACTTTGGAGGAGGGAGTGGGCGCATCTTGGAAGGTCTCCACGAACTCTTTGAAGGCCTGCAAGTCGTGTGGGGTTGTTAATTGACTAAGATGGATTAGAGTTAGTCGCCTACATGTGCCGCAGCCGCCGCATCCTCCTTTTTCTTCTGCTCCTCGATCTCCTTTTTGGACAGTTGCCGTTTGGAGAAGGTGCCCACGGTAAAAGCCTCCAACTTCTTTTCGCTAATCCTCTGGAAATAAAGCCGGTGAGTATAAAACTCCTTTACCCCGATATTGAAATTACTTTTACCTTCAGGCTGGTGGCAGGTGTAGCCGGTTCCTTGATTTTATTCACTGGTTTACTCATTTTTCCGCGACAATATTATCCACATTACATTTTCTGCAAATACAATTAAGTGTGACCACCCTCGCAGTATGACCGTAGGCTGGGAATACATCACGACACATCCGATAGTTGCGATGGGTGTTATCGACAGAGCTATGTAAATTACTACTTTTATTATAGTTTTATCAAATAAATGCAAAATGGATATCTGCCGCCTGTGTTTGCGCGGAGTGAGCGGCGCCCAGATGTGTCTACAGATCTTCGATGCGGACTTGGCGGAGAACAAGGTGGCGGAGGTGCTGCGCCAGCATTTCTGGTTCGAGGTAGACTGCTCTGCCCCTCACCCACTTTTGTGTTTTTATGCCCGGGATGCTCTTGATTCTATTACCATCTCCCAACCACATCCAGGTGCTGCCCAACGACGAGATATCCAAGGTCATCTGCAATGTCTGCTGGACGCAGGTGTCCGAATTCCATCAGTTCTACGTGTCCATACAGGAGGCCCAGGTGATCTATGCCACCACCTCCAAGTTCAAGCAGGATCCGGAAATGGTGAACACATCCTGGCCGGAGGAGGTACTCATGCCGGCCGACGTGCTGGCCGTGGACAACGACGTTAGCGCTCAGCTGAATGTGAATCCGCTGGACGAGCTCGATCTGAGCCAGCCCATGTCCCCGGAAGACAGCAAGGTGGGTATCAAAACCGAACGGGAATCACCAGACATGGAATTCATCTTCGAGGACGCCAACAACGATCACGACGAGGACTACGAGGAGGACGAGGATGAGGACACCGACGACTTGATTGTGACACGGAGTGGACGCAAGCGCAAGGTGGCCAAGCCGGCAAAGACGAAAAGGGGAGCGGGTGCGGTGGGCAGGAAGGGCAAGGAGAAGATCACTGCCAAGCGTGGACCACCCAAGAGGATATTCAAGATGGAGCGTCTGCCACCCTTCTGCAAGGAGGACGAGGAGTTGATCAAGCGCTACATAGTCATGGGCTGCGAGCTGTGCATATTCCTGGCGGAGGACTTTGACGGCATCCGTGAGCACTTCAAGGAGAAGCATCCGGAGGAGCGGCCCTTCATCAAATGCTGTGGCCGCAAGCTCAACAAGCGATGTCTCATCCAGGAGCATGCGAGGAGGCACGAGAATCCCGAATACATCAAGTGGGTATTTTGATTAAAGAATTTTCCTTAACACTCAACTATCTTCTATGACAGATGCAAGGACTGCGGCAAGGTGTTTGCCAACTCAAGCGTGCTGCGTGCCCACTGGCTGGTCCATCATGTGCCGGACGAGGAGTGTGATTTCCAATGCGAGGACTGCGGCAAACGCTTCTCGAGGCGCAATCTGCTCGAGCTGCACAAGGGCTCTCATGTGCCCGTTAATGAGCGCAAGTTCATCTGTCCCCAGTGCCCCAAACACAATGCGTATGTACTCCCGTTTCCTAGGACCCATGACCTATGGTAACCCGTTTCCTTCCGTTCCACAGTTTCGCCACGGAGTACCACATGCAGGTCCACATCAGCATGCAGCACCGGAAGGCGGCCAATATCTGCCATGTCTGCGGTAAGAAGATCAAGGACAAGGCCGTCTTCGAGAAGCATGTTCGCCTACATTTCGAGGAGAGCGGGCCACGCATCAAGTGCCCGCGTCCCGACTGCGAGAGCTGGCTGAAGGACGAAGACAATCTCAAGCAGCATTTGAGGCGCCACAACGACGAGGGCAAACTGTTCATTTGCTCGGAATGCGGCAAGAGCTGCAAGAACTCCCGGGCGCTGATCGGCCACAAGCGGTACTCGCACTCGAATGTGATCTACACCTGCGAACAGTGTGGCAAAACCTTCAAGAAGGACATCAGCCTTAAGGTGGGATGGTACCATTTACCATATTCAAATGTAATTTCCTAACATAGTTTCTATTTGCAGGAGCACATGGCGCAGCATACTGGCGAGCCCCTTTACAAATGTCCTTTTTGTCCCCGCACCTTCAACTCGAACGCCAACATGCACTCTCACAAGAAGAAAATGCATCCTGTGGAGTGGGATATCTGGCGTAAGACCAAGACGGGAAGCTCCCAAAAGGTCCTGCCCAGTGCTCAAGTAGCCCAGATGTTTAGGGACGATGCCGATGCCGCAGCTATTGCCAATGACTATACAGCTTAGGCCTACGAAAGCTTAAGGAGTCGATCCGCGGAACCATTGCTTAGTTTTTGATTAATCTTTGTTTGAAAACAAAATATATATAATAGGAATTATTGAAAGTCCGCCCTTCGTTTGTCCTTTTAGTGGGTGGTCTAGTTCTTCCTTTTTAAATGCTTCCCGGCGCGCTAAGTTTGTACACTTTAAATTGTTTGGCAGCCGCACATTTTAAAAATGTTTTACAAAAAATTTGTTTTCAAAAAATAATCTGAAAAAGGGCAGGGCAGAATAAAAATGTACAACTCATTGAAACAGCCAATCGATTATCAATTGAAAATCGAAAATAACAGCAATATATTTATAGACGAAATATAGCACATATTATTAAATTTAAAAATTTTATCCCTACTTTCTTTGAATATGAAAACCTAGTTTTTAGAGTTACATATTGTTTTGTCAAAATAATTTAAAAAAGAAAAAAATTAAATTAAGAAAATAAAAAACAACGAAGCTAGAATTTGGCATCCATTATTTTCCAATGGGATCTATAAAGATTTAGTAGATAATTCCGACTTGCAATTGTGAAGGGACTCTTGGGGAAGTTTTACTCCGATACCTTTAAAGCTGAGATACTAGATACTACTACTAGTCGAGTCGGCTTTTGATGCTGATCAAGAATTTATATACTTTCTAGGATCAAAATATCTTTTATTGCTGACTGAAATTATAGAAACCTCTGCAAAGGGTATGAGAAGCAACATCATATCAAGATAAAGCAGTGTGCAAGTCTTATTTCAGCATACTGCAGGTGATAAAACATGAAATGGTTGGAGTCCCTGCTAAATTCTTCAGCCAAGTCTGGCAACACTGTAAGAAACAACGCAACAAAACAGCCTGCGTGGACAAAAACATTGACAAAAATGAATGTAAGCTTTTTATAAACTAAATATTATTAACTCCTCGATAATGATTACTCAACCACCCGACAGGAGTCCGAGATCCCCATCGACATACACACGCTGAAGCTGCAGGACTGGCTGATCAGCCGTCGAATTGTTCCAAAGAATGTGCAGCTGGAGATTCGGGAGATCCACAAGAAGATCAGCAACGCCCTGCAGGACATGCCCTCCAATGAGCAGCTGATCAAGCTCTTGGCCAGGACAAGTGGGTACATCCAGTGGCCCAAAGGCATACCAACTTAATCGACTTTCCCCCTGCAGATATCAACTACTACCATGTCAAGGAGATCATCGAGATCCTGAAGCAGACGGAAAAGGACACGAAGAGCGTTTTCGGCACCTACGGCAGCCAGCGGATGAAGGACTGGCAGGAGATCAGCCGCCTGTACGAGAAGAATGCCACCTACCTGGCCGAAACTGCTCAGATCTTCGTGCGGAACGTGAACTACGAGATTCCCGGAGTGCGCAAGCAAATGGCCAAGTTGGAGCAGCAAACAGATGAGAGCCAGAAGCGGGCCCACGATCTGAACAAGCCAGAAAGCCAACTGCTGGCCGAGCACGCTGCTCTGCTGGAGCAATTGGGCGTCAAGGGTGACAGCCTACACGCCGAGTTCGTGGAGGTCCTGGCTGGTCTGCCCGATCTATACGCCAAATCTCTGGTTGACATAGCCAAGATCCAGCCGGGTATTGATCTGTACGCCGAGATCAGCGGTAACAAGCAAGCGCTACCCATCCTCAGCCACCTGGTGGAGTTTGGCAACACCACCGTGTACCAGTACATTCACAAGGAAGCGCCCCTGGCCGTCGAGGAGCCGCCCATTCGGTTGAACCTCGATGAGGGCATCACCAGCAAGGATGAGAATGTCCCGCTTGAGATTGACTTCGGAGCGGACGACAATGGCGGAACCTCGTCGACTGTTTCGGCGGAGATTATCGATTTCGGAGACTTTGGCAGTGGGGATCTGCAGGAAAGCGAAGGCGGCAACATCGACTGGGGCATCGAAAGTGCTCCCACCGATGCGGTGGAAATCAACTTTGACATTCCCGTCGAAGAATACGGAATCGTGGTGGAGGGCACGGGCATGGACGGAGGCACTGCCAAGGGTAGGTACTGTTTTATACTGCAAAAGTCTTTTTAAATTATGATTCCGTTCCCCCAGGTGATCAAGCCTACACGTTGCTGGACTCGCCCAATTATCGCGATCGGTTCCTTGACGAGATCTACGAACTGGAATCCTTCCTGCGTTTGCGTCTCTATGAACTAAAGCAGCTAGAAACTTCAAGCGACATTATGTTCTCCTTGATGGACAATATTGCCACTCACGATGCGGAGAGCATCCGGAAAATTCTCAGCGCTGTGGAGAAAATTATCCAGCAGACTTCCGACGAGCAGACCCGGCATCTCTTCCAGCTGAAGCACTCCCCGAAATATGCCAATCTGCTGGCCACCAAGTTGCAGCAGATGACCAAGGCCGTGGAGAAATTACGATCCACGCGAGAGGCGCTGAAGAAGCGAGCCATCGAGCTGAGGGAGCAGCGCCAGCAGCTGAATCCCGTTCTGGAGGAGCTGATTGCCCAGACTCGCACTCTACAGTCCCACATCGAGAAGGACATTTCCAAGCGATACAAGAATCGGGTGGTTAATTTGATGGGAGGTGTTAACTAATGATTATAATGTTAGGATTTTGTTTAATAAACTGTAATTTGGGCAGGACAAAGATGGCTTTGTTAATTTTTTAAAAGAAGTTTATTTTTATTTTGCTATTTTTATTAAATATACAAATTTTATTTATATTGTGTTCTTTCTTTTTAATTGCCATTTTGCTTCTTTTTTTGTATCCAGAATACAAACCTAATTTTAGTGAAGTTTGTTGTTGGTTTCATTTTTTTTGTTGCTTTTGTTTTGTTCATAAAAGTATGCTTACACATTTAACGTTTTAAACTTTCACTTAAATTTAAAATTCTTATGTTGCTGAATTTGAATAATGTGTAAAACAAGAACAACGCTGTGATTAACTTAAATGTTTTTGGGGGCCTGTCTTGAATTTAAGGAAATTCATCGAAAAAGTATTATATAAATCGGAAGTAGAATGGGGGAGCTTCAAAAAAATCGGAAATGCTATAGAGTAGCTATACAAGGTTTGGGTGTAAAAAGCCACAAAATGTCGGGGTATACATTGGGATATCAACTAGACTTAGGCACTAATCTAACAAAAGTGTGGCTGGCGGTAATCAGCAGAAAGGCTTTATAAGTATAATCAATTCGTTAACTAAATAGAAAATAACAAGCACTATCGAAAATACAATTAATTATACGGGGAAGAGGCCTCATGATATGGTTACAACTTTGTGTGGCGCTAGGCCTGGGCTCAAAGCGTCGTGTACTTTTGTTTCCGGTTGTTTTGTGATGCATGACCCGACCTCAAGCTCAAATCAATCATCTACAATATGGGGGTCGTCGTCGTCGACTTCTCTCGGGGTTTACATAGATATCATTTGTATGAATATAATGTTGGATTGTTTTGATTATACATCAACGCACGTATTTGTGTAGTGTTGCATTTATAACTCGTATGGTAAATGTTAAATAAGCATAAAATTTGTTCGAAAGTTGCTTGTGGTCTGCCATTATTGTAGTTTCTTACTCTAATATATATGTTTCATATAATTTATATATATTTATTATTTATAGGTTTTAATTTAATTCTTGCTCTTGCTTTGCTTAGGTGCTACTATGTATATGTCTGAATTTATTTATGTATACATGCTTTTGTTTATTTGATGTATTTTGTAAATGATTACTTTTTATACACGTATCATAGCGCCGGTCGGATTAGAAATTCTGAGCTCTTTCCGCTCTAATCTTTATGTTATTGCTCTTAATTTCAAAAAAAATATGTGGATTGCCCTATCTACAACTCCCCGCTGTCCACACATACACCCTCCCCCCTAGACTTACAATCTAAGCGAACTTGTTCCGTATTCCTTTTCCTGTTTTCTTTTTGTTTCTTCAATGAAAAACATCGCCTCTCTTGGCTGGCTCTGTCCACCAGCGATGGTGGTGATGGTGATTCGGCTGCTGAGCTTGTTGTTGCTGCTGATGGTGCTTCGACTGTCAATCGTTCTTCACTGGGTAGTAGATTAGATCCGGTTGCTGGCCATGCGGCGGCATTTGCTGCATCATTCCACCCATCATGGGCGGCAGCACGCCCTTCGTATCGTCTCCGAGCATGGGATATCCCACGCCCACGCCTACACCTACGCCCACGCCGACTCCAACTCCCGTGCGGTCGTAGACATTGCTGTGCGGCGCTGGCGGAGGCAACAGATGCGGATGCAATGGCTGCTGCTGCTGAGCCTGCAGGCCATGCGGATGTGGGTGGTAGGGCTGAAAGCTGTTCTGCTTCTGCTGCTCGCTGACCAGTTGCTCGCTCAAGTGCTGCTCGTAGGCTCCTCCGTAAACGCCGCCTCCGCTGCGCATTAAAGCGCTCGCATAGCCTCCGGCACCGTGATGTTGCTGCTGCGCCGCCTGCTGTTGCTGCTGCTGCTGCTGGGATGATGGCGTTTGTTGCTGCTGCATCAGGTCGAAATTGTACTCCATTGGCGCGGGGTTTGTGTCAATGAGATTCGTGAGTATGCTGCCGATATTGTTGTAGTTGTGTGGATCACTTGAGTTCGCCTGTCCTTGGGCCTGTTGCTGCTGCTGTTGTTGCTGCGCCGCCTGTTGTTGCTGTTGTGGTTGCTGCTGTGTAGATTGAGGGAACGCGGGCGCCGGCCACATGTGCTGAAAGCCCATCAGATCACCAGCGAGGGTTGGATCCGGTTGCTGCGGTTGTGGGTGTTGTTGCTGCTGCTGCTGGGGCTTGCTGACTGCTTGTTGCTGCTGCTGTTGTTGTGGTGAAGGCGGCACATTCATTGGAAGCCCTAGGAACTCGGCCGATTCCACAATATAGAATTTGTTATCTTTGAGCTCAACCTGCTGGTTGCTGGGAGGATTGCCAAAGTTCATGTTGCCCCAGGAATCGGTGGCCTGTTGCTGCAAGAATTGTTGTTGTTGTTGCTGCTGCTGCTGTTGTTGTTGTACTGAAGCAGGTTGAGGCGACTGCAGTCTCGCATGCTGTGGGGAATGCGATGGTTGCTGATGCTGCTGTTGCAATTGCTGGGCTGCAGGATGATGGTGGAGCGGCGAGCGCTGGTTGTGGCGATGTTGCTGCTGCATCATCAACTGGTGCTGATGGTGCATCGGCGGCATGTGGTGCGGGGAGCTGAAGTGCTGCTGCGGCTGCTGTTGTTGCAGTTGCGGAGTGTGCGGAGGATGTGGACTCTGTGGCGTGTGACTCCTCATGTGCTGCTGCTGCTGGGCGAGATGATGTTGTGGTTGCTGCTGCTGCTGCGGCTGTTGCTGTTGTTGCTGTTGCTGCTGCTGTTGTTGTTGTTGTTGCTGGTACTGGCTGATCAGTTGATGCTGCTGATAGGCGCCAGCTGCCGGATTGGACTCAAAGTGAAATTGTCCATCCTGCCCAAAGCTATTCATACGCTGCAAATGCAAATCTCCGGGTGCAACTCGGGACTGAGGCGGTGGCGGCGGCTGTTGCTGCTGTTGTTGTGGTGCCGGCGGCGGTGTTGGATGCTGCTGATGCAAGGCATTCTGTGGCTGCTGCTGCTGCGGTCCCGGCTGCTGCTTCTCCGCATTAAAGCTCTGATTGTACATGGAATTCTGCTGAGATTCACTCGTCGACACCGAGTGCTGCGACGTGGAGGCCGTGGAGGATTGCGAACTGTTGCTGCTGACCATGGCCGCATTGAATTGATCCTGCTGCAGGCAACCCGGCGTGGTGGAGACCGGCGGCGGCGGCGTCGGCGTGGCCGCAGAGCCCTTCTGCTGTTGTTGCTGGGAGGATGCTGCTGCTGCTGCGGCCGCGGCGGCTGCTGCCTGAGCTTTCGCCTTGCTGGTCACTGCCTTTTTACTGGCCTTGACAGGCGGTGGACCGGGCATATCCGGTAAGCTAGCCATTTCTGCTGGTAAAAGAAAAGGGTTGGATTAGTTTTGGAGTTTATGAAGAGTCCCTCTCAACCATACCTTCTTCGTTCGCTTTGGGAAAGCGCTGCTTTCCCTTCTTAGGAGGCGGCGGCTCGTTGCCGTGCATGGTCTGCTTGTGACGCACCAGGTGCGTTTTCCACTTGAAGGTCTGCGAAGGCATTAAGGTTAATTACTAATGTCAGGATTTCAATACCCGAAGAGCATTCCTTTAAATCATATTCCAACCGGGTTTGAATGTACTTTCGGTTGGAGTTTGATAGAAAGATCGCAGTTCTTCAGTAGGAATATATACAAATATATCCCAAGATCGCACCTGATCGCAATAGTTGCAGCAGTGCGGCCTCTCCTCCGAGTGCGACGGCAGGTGCCGCTGCAGCGACTTTGCCGATCCGAAGCGCTTGCCGCACAACGTGCACTTGCACTCGGACACGTCCACGTGGGCATTGCTGTAGTGCTCCTTGAGCGCGGGATATGTGAAGTAGGACGAGCCGCACAGATCGCACACGTAGGGCCGCTTGATCTCGGTGTGCAGCTGCACGTGCCGCTCCAGGTTGGCCTTCAGCGTGAAGCGGTTATGGCAAATGTGGCACTCGAAAAAGTTGTCGCGCTTGTGCACGCGAATGATGTGCTGGTAGAGGGCGTTCTTCGACTGAAACTCCTCGCCACACACCTCGCAGATGGCCCCGTCGGCCTTGTGGCCCGTCTCCTCGAAGTGTTGCTGCAGTTTCTTCTGCGGAAACTTCTGGCCGCACTCACCGCAGGGAAAGGCTGCAAAGGGATAGAGGTTAGTTCAGTGTTCAAAAGGTTTCTGGGCTAAACTGATGCTGATTCCAAGGAACTCCGCCGGAGAACTTGGTGAAATTTACATTCACGGCGACTCACTTTTGATTTCCTTCTTGTTGTGCGACTCCACGTGGGCATGGAACTGCTGCTTGCGTGAGTACGACTCCCCGCACGTCTCGCACACAAATGGGAACTCCTTCACATGCATGGTTCGGTTGTGATGGATGATTTCCTAGAAATGAAGAAGAGGGTTTTAGTAACAATTCTTTATTGCTAAGTAATATATCAGACATTTCTATATTGGCTTCTTGTGTTCTTAATTTATTAATGTTCAATAGCTCGTTTAAAAAACAGATTAATAGGTGTCGAAAGACAAAGCTCTATTTTTCTGTGACTTCTTTTAGCCACATACCAAAACAGGTTTCAAACCTCTGATAAGGTTTAAAGTCCAGGTATAGATATACCAAATATAAATTTCTGTATTAATTATGTAAATGCTGCATTACTAATTGGTTTAATCCGGGGTGTACATAATATCTTTTTCAAACTAATTTGTTGCAAGATATTGACTAAGACATTCACCAATGATCATGATCAAAGTGGAGATTATAATAAATATATAATCTGTAAATAATATCCTAATTTATTTTCCAAAAGGGTGAATGTTTTTCATTGCCTGGTTTTTCTGCTTCTAAATCAACTAGTTACCTCCAGCGTGTTCCCGTTGCGCTGACCGCAGTCGTGGCAGTAGCCCGGATGCATCTTGTAGTGGTCCAGCAGGGATTTGCGCTTGCGATACGACTTGGGACAGAGCAGACAGTTGTAGCTGGGTTTGTCCTTTTTGCTGCCCGGCGTCTGCCCTCCACTGCCTCCACTTCCGCTGCCATGTTGCGA